TCGCACTTCAGTCACTTGTTTTTGGCTGGTTGGTTGCCGTTTTAGTTGCAATAATAGTTGCCGGACTTCTTTTGGCCCATCCACTTGATCGGTCCTTCTATATGTACTGTTTCTTTTGCCCATCCACTCGATCGGTGAGATAGTCATCTCGGGAGTTGGGCCCAGGTGCATCCCTGCCATGTCACTGGGGACCCGGTGCTCTACCTAGGCGCCAACAAACAAATGAGGGAAGGAGGGTCCATGGCTCAAGTCCGGAGCCTTGTGAATAGGTTTGTTTCACCGTTTTTGGTTGGTTCTGTTGGTAGTTCTTATGTGGCTGTGGGTCAAAACCAATGGTACCATTTTGGTTGGTAGACGCACCACCCATGTTAGTCTATTTTAGTGGGGATTGGGACGTTCACTGGGCGTACGGGATTTTGACCCATGGCCATGTGTTTCCATGCCGAGCTGTGGATGGACGCATTGGACCGCTTGGAAAGCATGAGAAACCATGGTATTTGCAGCGGAATCATCATTCCAGGGTTCCTTAGTCTCTGCAGGATTTTGTCCATCTACAGCATTGCCCTAAAGAGGACGGTTGTGAAATAGGCACTGTTCGCTATGCCTTGGTGTTGGCCATGTACCCTTCGGTTGAAAGCAAGAGACTCCCCTGAGTGTAGAAGCAGGTTTGGTTTGCGAAAGGTCCACAAGGCGACCCATCATACCTCTGGGCAAATCAAAGCACCTCCCAAGGGGCTTGCCCATGAACTAATTTATGGGGTAAAACAAGCAGGGAACCATTTTTATTGGGAGCCTGTTTTCCTTTGAACGCCCGTGCACAGCAGTTCGAAGTGTTCTGCGTGCTACATAATGGGGACTTGGAGTAGTAAACCCCAGTTGGCTACCAGGGGGGTGTCCTGGTTTAGTTGGGGTTCATCACTTTTGGAGGGAACACCCCCCCACCCCCTTATCAATAGGACGGGTTTACAAGTACGGGGTCAACATTAGTCCATGCTCTTTAATTCGCGCAAAGGGAAACCACAGGGGGATGCGTGACTAGTCAACTTTCCCGGACGCCCCCTATTTGACGGAGGGTCCTCGGAATCCACCAAGGGTCGAGACAAATTGATCATCCAAAACACACCCCATGGTGGAGAACATCGATTCTTTTTAGCTTTTTTGGTTTCAGGTCTTTCCCAAGATCCAACAGGAAGAACCATGTTACCTTTGGTTGGCCCCCTGCCATTTTTGAACCTGGATCTAAATCGACCCCCTCACATTCGGGGGTGGGGACGCTCCAACAGTGGTTTCATTCCCCACGAAAAGGAGTTGGACACCCCGCCTCTGATAAAGTGGGGGGTGCTACTTGGATCCGGGGTTCCCGTTCGGTATGGGTCAAAACAGGGTGAGCCCCCCCCCGATTTGTTTGGGCGGTTTCCCTTTAACCGTTACCTTGAAAATGGTACCGAGGCTCTTGGAAACCGAGGTACCCATTCTCGTGCCAGGGGGGGTCTTGCTGCCACCTGCGGCACAATGATCGACCCCCTAGTGAAGCATTCCTTGAGGGGGAAAAGGCAAATTTTCTCGCAAAAGGCTGCAAAAAAGAAGACCCCCCTGTTCTCACCGAGGCCCACAGCGAATCGACCTTTGACCTTGTGGTTTCCCTGATGTGGGCCCCAAAAGTTCGAGCTTCCACATCCAAGTTCTGGGCAAGTGAGCATGTGGGTCTATTTCCCCCTGGACCACTGGACATATTGTCTTATTTGTTCCAGGGGGCGAGAAAGCAAATGGAAGGATGTGTTGCAGATGTCGTCAGCGCTAAAAAATAAATCCCAGAAGGAAGCCGGAAAAAAACACACTTGGACAAAAGGTGGATGGCCCAATTCCTTGGCAAATTAGTTGCATGTAACAAGTTTTGGGGTGAATCCCAAAAAACACACTTGAATCCAAAAACACGCTTGAAGACAAGGTGGATGGCCCAATTCCTTGCATGCAAAAAGTGATACTGTGGGTGGACGAAATCCTGCACCATTTAAGAACCCTGAAAAGATTTGATTCCCCTGTAAATACCAACCAACCATGGCTTCAACCATGGATTCTTAGGTGGTGCCCAAGAGGATTTCGTCCACCCACAGGATCGGGTGCTCAAAACTAGGTCCCCCAGTAGTGCCCTTTCTCACCCTTTTTTGGTTGGGAGGGTTCCCCTACTAAAATAGACTACCGAAAACAAATCGGGTACCGACTTATTCTAACCCCTCTACTGGAGGACCTAGGTTACCAACTAGCCATCAAGAAATGGATTTCGCTCACCCACTCGATCAAATAAGCCGTAAGTAAGGTCTTAATCAGGGCTTAATACGGTTTTTTTTTGGCTTCCATGATCCTTGCATACAAAAAGCGATCGGCTGCTGAGAGTCACAGTACGGCCCAGTTTCCCAGTGGTGCCCTTTTTTTTTCAAGGAAGGCTTCCCCTTTAAAGTCAACCAACCAAAAAAGGATGCCCCATGGCCGCTGGGTATCGGCTGCGACGTCCGGGTCTCCGGTCTCCGCTCTCGAGCTGTAGGTTTCTGCCGGCTGGTGCCGTGGCCGCTGCAAGAGCCGGCGCTGCGCGTCATCGCGCACCGGCTGAACCGGAAGATCTTCTGCATCGCCTCGGAGGGAGCGGATGGGCTGCACTCCGTTGGTGCATTTTGCCAAGGGAGGTTAGGACTGAACAACTTTTGGCCAACTAATGGGTTTTCGGTTTTCCAATGAAAACACTAAGAGTTAAACTTTGGGAAGGGGAGCAGAAAGCAACCGAGTTCTTTTCTTGGGAGATTATTCCACTTGCTTAAGAATATGTTTAATTCGTTCCCCATTTGGGTTGGGAAAAGTTTCAGTTGTTCCGGGGAGATTAAGAAAACGATGGTATTTGTTGGTTTTAATGGCAAAGCATAGGTGGGCGTGGCTTCAGTTTTCCTTGCGGCCTCCCAAAAAAGCTAGCTCCATCAAAAAGGGACCCTCAAAAAAAGAAGCCTTCGAGCCCAAATAATTATCAGGTAAACCTCCGTGTTGTTTGAGGGCAAGCGACCTGTGGCAAAGATAGGTGGGCATGTGTGTTGTTCTCGGCAGCCCCTGAGTTCTACTGGACGTTTGTCATTTTTGGGCTGACCATTTTAGCGGGGAACCACTAGTTAACTTGCTTCTGTTGGCCGGTTCACTCGGGAAGTGAGTTGATTTGTGGCAAAGGGTAAATCGGTGGGCGTGGTGCCTTTGTAGAACACTCTTTTGGTTAACCAACCCAATGTGCAGGTTGCCCCGTTTGGAGCTTAGCCATTTTGCGGTTTTGGCTGGTTCCTTTTTGGCGGGGCTGCAATGGGCCAGAATCTGTTTCAACATGGCAAGCGGCACCTTGGCCTGGATGGATCTTCACTTTGCTTGGCATTTTGGGTGCTTCTGTTTGATGTTTGGTTCTGTGAATCGAAGGAAAGAACCGCCTCTCACTCTAATTTTGATGTTTTTTGGTTGAACCGCCGTTGAACCGCCTGGTTCTGTGCGTTTCCAGCGAGGGCCTGCAAAGAAGAGTGCTTATTGCTAAGATGCTCGGCAAGGGGATCATTTGCAAGCATCGCGGATTCCAACCTGCAGGTTGCCGTTGACTCAACGTCGTTGACAGGTGGCCCATCAAGAGGGACTTCCAAGCACCCTCCGATGTGTTGTGTTTGGAGCAAGGGTAACTTTTGTTAGGGGCCCTGCAACCTTCCCCAAGATCTCGCAAGCGTCAAGGCCGCGCTTTGCCTTAAGCAGGCTATGCAAGTGTAACGTGAGATGGGGTCGGGGGAAATTCCAGGTATGGTTTTGGAGGTATGAATGCTATAATTGAATGCTTGTATACCATCAATAGCTTGTACTCTCATGCAGTGCAGACCCCTTTTTTAAGTGGCATGCGACTTCCCAATGACCTGACAATTCCCTTGATAGGGCGCCTCTACCAGCTTTGAGTGTGTGCCTGTGCTGCCGCTTTCTAAGGGGACATTTCACTGGAAAGCCTCGGTTTTCGCTTTGCTTTTTGATTGCAAGCTTCCTGCAAGCATTTGGCCTGTTTTTTGGAGAAGTTCCATTTTGGGTGCTTTGAAAGGGAAGCAACATCAGAACGCCGAAGCCATGTTGGGGGTCCCCCCCAAAACAAACCGCCCATGTTGAGCATGCGCGTTGTGGAACCGCTCAGCACGAGTTTCCGGGCTTTGGCATCCGGGGATGTTGGTGTGTTGAGGTGTCCCCCGATTTGCTGCAGACGGATGATTTGGATCCAAATGGGCAAGCCGCTCGCTTGCAACGATTTTGACGTCCTCAGTTCCTGAGTGTCCTTTTCGGATTTCATGCTTTTGGGGCTTGGACCATTTTGACCATTTTGGTGGGAAATACACAGTTCAGACTTGTGTTGGCCAATCCACTCAGGAAGTGAGGTGTGGATGGACAAAACTCGCACCACCTGGGATGGATGAAGTCCTACAAGCATTGGGAGAAAGCACCGATCAACCGGGTGCAGAATTTTGCCCTGACAGGACTTGACCTGGCGGTTTCCGGTTTTGGACCTGTTTTTAGTTCCCTGCTATGCCATCCTTTGTGGAGGAATCTCCTCGGGGACCCACCTTTTAAAGCTTCCATACCCCCACTGCAGATAATGCTGGAACTGTGGAACACAGAAAAGTGATGATGCCACGAAGGATCATTCTTCACCTTGCTGTTGAGCTCTATGTCAATTGGCGGGTCGCTTCCCCTTAGCTTTTGAGTCGGTAGTTTCCATTTAACCCGCCTGAAGCTAAACTTTTAGCAGGGGATCTGAGGGCAGCCCAGAAAAGGTCGGGCTCCAATGACTCAAATTGGGTGGGGTCTTGAGCAATCTGGCGGAACCAACCAAAAAGGGATGCCACTGTTGTTCCCACTGAGCACGATGAATCTGGGTCAACCTTCGGGTCAACCTTTGAACAAAGAAACCACGATGCGAGGTTTGGAGTCTGGTTTTCGTCTTTCTTTCCGTTTCCGGGCCCTCTCCCAAATTGGTGGTTGTCCTTTTAAAGCTCCCCTTTAACACCACACAAAAAAGTGGTGTCTGCAAAAAACACAGTTTTTAGCTACCATACCAAGAGTAGAGATGTATTGGATTCCTCGGGTTGGTTCTGCAAAAACAACAGGCCGGCCGCTGCGGTTCTCGAGGCCTTTTTTACGGACTTGTACACCTTCATCGACACCCTGCCTTTGCCATACAGGACCGCGGACCGACGGCTGTCGGCTGTCCGTGGGTGTGAGTGGGGGGTCTTTTCTTGCCACCTTTTGTACGAGAAAATTGGCGACTTTTCCCCCTCAAGACGGAATCCTTCACTACCAGGGGGTCGATCATTTTTCCCCAGGTGGCAAAAAGACCCCCCTGTGTGAGTGGAGTTGCCCCGTTTCGCTGTTAGAACCGCAATCCGTGTTTGCCAGAGAAATCCGGAGCCTCCTTCGCGGGGATCCAATGCATAGGGAAACGTGAGAGTGGATCGTTTTCCCCCTGTTGGTTTTAAAGGAAATCTATCACTACTGGATTTTTTTTCCAGGGGTCTTAATCAAATGGAAGTCTATAAGGTATGTTTGGTTCTATACCGGGTTGTCTCCACACGTGGATGCCCCTGCCATATTGCAAGCAAGGGAGCAAGGAACCGTAATTTGCCATGGTGGTTTGAGCTTGGGATTTGCTACGAGATGGGATCGCATCCACCCTGCCATGGGTATTCTCAGCAAAAGGTTTCGGAGGTACTGTGGATGGACGCTATCCATTTCTACAGAAACCCTGGAATGATTCCCCTGTCAGTACCATAGTTTCAGTGCAAGGCAGCATATGCCACTTCTCTACGTGGCATGTATATATATATATATATTGTATCCTTGATGATGGTTAGGTTCCACTGAAAAACCACTTATCAGGGGAGCCCATCTTTTATTTTCATCAAAAGGACACCTACCGTGGACGCCCCCATCATTCCAGGTTTTCTTCAGTGGTGCAAAATGGACCTTGTCTTCGTCCCCAGTAGTGCCCTTTTACCCTTTTATTGGGGAGGGTTCCCCGAAAAAAGGGTACCCTTATAATCTAACCTCTCTACTGGAGGACCTAGTTGTCCATAGTACGGTCCTTAGGCTGTGCGATTCGGCTAGGCTTATGGTGATCGACAGCACCTTCGGTGTGGGTGTGCCGTTGCTCTGGCGGCTCCAAGACAGGCTGAAGCAGGTGCTGGTGATCAATTGTTCCTGGATCTTCAGGCCTGGCAAAAAAGTCAAAGGACCTGAAGTTATTCTGGGATGTTCAACAAGGATGTGTTTTTGTTGAAGGTCCCTTTTTAGGTTGGTTTAGAAGAACATGCTTATTCCCCGAGTTCATGGACTTTAGTCACCCCTTTTTCCCCCTTAATAAGGTAGGGGCGACGCAAAGGAAACCAAAGGCGTTTTTTTTCTTCTTCTTTTTCTCCGATTTTCCAGACCCGAAGAAACCCACCCTGACCTGGGAGCCAATGAAGGCATCACCATCACCACTCCTTGCAGTCCACGATGCAGCAGGCAACGGGCGAGAGGTGAGCAAGTGATAGGCGATCGGTGGATCTCGGATCTCGGTGCGGGACACGGGTGGGATGGATTGTTTGTCTTCAGAGTTAGGGGGGGTGGTGCAACCTTGATTGCTATTTGGAACCGGATCTTTGGACTTCAACTGTTTGATTGTTTTTTTTGGTAGTGTGGATGAATGGCTTCTTTGGAAAAAGCGGGCTTGCATGTTTCCTAACATCTCTGGTAGATTGCCTCAAAAACATAACAACGGAGCCTGAATACATGTGCCCTCTTCAGTTCGCTGCATTCTCGGTACCAGGACGCAGGTATGCTGTTTGGAGAAGTCACCTTGACCTGGGCGTTTCCCCCTGAATGCTTGTTATCCTAAGGGTTTCCCCTCTTGCTCGGCATGTGTTGTTTTCGTGTATTGTTTGGGTTTTGGCTTGCCGCAGGGTCCCGGGCTCCCTTTTGACTCCCCTTTCATTGCCAGATTAATCACCGAGTTTTCGATCAGAGGCGAGGAATGGGAATGGGGGTTGTCGTTAATGAGGCAACCCCGAATTGGCGGTTTGGATTTGGTGGGAACTGGCGATTTAAACCCGGTTCTTGCAGAGGGTAAATGGAAAACCACCTCCCCAACACCAAACCAAGCTCCAAACCACGAATCCTGCATCTTTTCTTTTCCGTTCTATCACTATTACCTGCCAATACTTCCGGGAGTTTCTAGACCTACAGCACCTCCGGAGGATTCTCAGCTAGGAAGCTGAAAGAGGGGCCCCTTGGGAAACTTTTCAACAAGAAAGGCGGAAAGGCGCAGGTTGCCAAGGTGATTTTCCCAGACCACCCGTCCACTCTTGCGTGAAGCTGAGCTCAGGCGATGTTCGCCATGTCTGGCATAAAAGTCTTGACTGCTATTGGGCAACGGATCTTTAGACTTTAACTTCTTGGTTGAAATCAAGTTGGGTTTTCCGTACTACCCCCCCCCCAAAAAAAAAGTGAGAAACTTTTTGCAGGGGGGTGTCAGCACGCCACTCGCCCGGCCAGACGCTGAAAGAGGAGGTGCTGCGGCTGTCGGCGCTGGCGTCGGCCAGAGCTTCTTGGACAGAGCTTCCCCCGTGGCATCGGGACCCGGTGACCCTTCAAAATCCTCATTTGGGGGCTGAGGGTACCACGTTTCTTTGTGGTTTCACATGGGAACCAACAGGAAACCACCATTTTTGGGGGTTCCCCCCAAAAGAAGCAACTCATTTTCCAGTGAGTTGTCAGAGTGTACAGGAAAATAGGTTTGTCGGATGTATGAGATTGAAATTGCCGTGATCGAGAAATGGAAGTGGTGGTCACCCCGCCCTTCCTGGCCTTGAGTCCCAAGGTCTTGGCGGACTTCCTTTCAGATGAGCTACACACACTGGCTGGTTCTCAGTGGAATCAACTGGAATTTTGGGAGTGAACATAGGATCAAGAAAACTAAAAGGGGATTGTCTCACTTCCGGAGTTCTAGGACTTTAAAAGCTTTTTGGGGAAGACCATTTTGGTGGCAAGTAAGAAGTTCATATATTTTAAAATGTTTGCCAATCCTCTCGATTGGAAGTGAGTTGTTCAGTTTGGGGCCACTTTCTGAGTCCCAGAAGGCGCCTCTTTTTTTGGGTGGTGGTTCTGTTCCAAGCCGCCGGCGCAAGAAGGTTGAGCTCAGTTACCCTTCCAGAGGTGGGGGGACTGAGCAGACTGGCGCCGGAAGGGAAACCAACTGGGAAACCACCAAAACGGCAAAAGCATATCTGTATTTTTCTTTCGAGGGTACTTATTTGTTAAAAAGAGACACCAGCAGGAAAACGTGCTGGGGACCCAGGGTGCTAACCACTTATCAACCTGCCCGAACACCCACGTGGGCAACTAGGCAAACACAGAACCAAAAGAGAACGCATTCAAACTGAATAATGAAGCCCCAAGGAACCATACCGTGGATGGACTATCCATCTCGCACCACGTAAGAAACCCCGAAATGATGCTTCCCCAACATAGTTTCTAAGTGGTGCGACCTGGGTTTTGCAACCATCCAAAGTAGGTCCCATCGGGTCGGTTCTTCCCGTCTGGAGGTGGACAGGAAGGTGTCGAAGGCTTCGAAGACCGAACCAAAACGGGATGGAGAATCCAAATTTCCCTGGTGGTTTTCCTGCGGTTTCCCTAGCCAGTCCCTTTATTGGAAGGGTAACTTCGTGGTTTATACCCTATTTGCAACCAGACTAACTGCACTTGGGGGACTCATAAGCTGGTTATAACCCAAGCTGCCAACAGCTTGCCTTGGTGAAACGAACCCCCAAGCAAGCCACTATAGTGGAATCACTGGGCAATGGCAAACGGAGCTCTTTGGGGTTTTGGCCTTAAGTGAGGGGAAATTCAAGGAAACCAGCTTTTTTGTGGATTGATTGGTGGACCAATTAAGGGGAAACCAAAGGAAACCAGCTTCCCCGTGGATTGGTGGACTGATTTTGTTTGGATTGATTTGTGTGTCTGCCCAGTTGCCCAGATGCCGCTTCTTGTGGTTTCGGCCTTGCTTGCCCTCAACATGAATTGAGTGGTGGATGGATTTCTGTGTATCCCCACCCCCTTAAACATGGAATGTGGGGAGGGGGGTGACCTCTGCAATTCCATTTCTGGTTCCATTTCCCTTGTATGGAAAATCTTGAAAACATATGAACAAGATTCTTTATTTATTTACCATTCTGGACCCCCCACCCCGCTCCCCCTTGTGGCTAGGGGGCATTTCTGTATGTTTTTCCAGTGGATGCCTTCGCCTCTCAGTGGATGCCTCCGCCTTCCAGTGGATGCCTCCGCCTTGAGGATGCCAAGAGCCTGGTGAAGCACTTCGGCGACTTCGCGCTCTCCGCGTCCATGGCCAAAGCCCAGAGCGGCACCACGCGGAACTGGCAGCCCCTCGGAAAACCTGAGCCGAGCGAGACCTGCACGCCTGGTGTGTGTGTGTGTGTTTGTTTTTTTGCGAGTCGTGCATGCCGAGTGGGTGGGTCAATGCTCTTTCTTTGTTTTTGCCTCAAGGGGTTGGAAAGGGAGGATAAAGCGATGTTTTCGTTGGTCTGAAGGGGAATCCGTTTCACTGGACACATGTTCTGATGTTTGTTTTCTCCCCCGGGCAGAAAGGGAAATGGAAGATGAGCTTTGCTGTTGTTGGATCATGTTTTAGATGCGTTTAGGTGGTGTGGTTGTGTTCATTTCTAGTGGGGGCTGCAAGATACAATGTTTTTTGTTACCATGCCAAGGGTTGACAGTGAATAGTATTTACCTTTGTTGGCACTTGTTGGCTTTACAAGGTGCTGGATGGTTTGTCCACTGGACGTAAGCAAATGGTAGGAAGGGATGGAGCTTCAGGATTTGAGACGAGGCTTTGGAGCGGGTGGGTTTGTCTCCTCCAATTCATACTTCATGGGGAAAATACATCTACGACATCATCTGAACGTTTGCTAAGTAGCCTGGATGTGGGCCAAGAAAAGAGGGTTGCCTCCATTCGCTTCATCATGTTGACGCTCCCTGTTTCTTTTTAAGGGCACCTTTCACGACTGTACTGTACCGTGTGTCTCCCCGAAGAGTAACTTAAATTTCGAGGGTTGGGTTTGATTGCGTCAAGGTCCGGACCGTCTCGATCCAATGCCGGGTCAAACTTGAGCATGGACGGCTGGGTGGGTGGGTGGCAACCTGCGGATGGTTCCGGAATCCATTTCGCACCACGGTTCTCAAACCCTGGCTTCTGATTCGATTCCCCTGTACCTTTGGGCTATGGGGGGAGCTATCCCAGGATGTGCCAAGGATCAGGCCTTAAGGCCTTATTCCCACACACACACACACACCCTAGCCCCCCCAATGTCCACCGCTGATGAATAACCCCCCCCCCAAACGACTGAGGTCCTCAAACAAAGTTGGAAAAGTATACCAATACTAAACTAAGTGTATTTCATTTTTTGCGGGATTTTCCCATGAGGTTCTTGGCCAACGAGTACGAGGCGGGGCTCACCAACGCCTGCGACGCCTTCTGGCAGATGTCCGCGGTGCACCCGGTGTGGAACTTCAAGCACCTCACCACGCTGCCCCTTCGGCAGAAAAAAAAGCCTCGGCCCGGCGGTGAGAAGAAAAAACGAGTCGAAGGGGGTAGATCTGCGCATCCATACCTTCAAAACCAAGGGGTGTATATATATATATAGAGAGAGAGAGAGATACAGATTATATTTATATATTGTTTATGTATATTCATATTTGCCATGCATAGCTTCAAAAATCAACACCCTCTCCCTGGGCATGCCAACTTGAATGGTAGTTTCCTCTCCAAAAAGCCATGGCTGCAAGCTTGGTTCCGTGTTTGGATCGCTTGAGGACAACCATGTTTGGGGGCTCCTCCAATAACTTCCTCTTATTTTTGGGAGGGCGGGGGGGCGGGCGGGGTAGACAAAATATGAAGCAGAATCTGAACATCTTTTTTTTCTGCGTACCCTTTGGCTTATTGATATTGTAGATTGGTTCCCTAAGTGGGAAAGCAGGCATGGGAATCAGCCACCTTGGCATCACACAAAGTGATGATTTTACAAAAGCATGACTGGTGTTAGCTTCCGATTGGGGGCCCTCTTTATGTGCGGAACAAATCATGTTTTCCCAGGCGAATTGCAGGCGAGTTGCTCACTGCCTGAGTTCCTGGACTTGGGTCACTTTCTGAGTCTGGTTGCCATTTCTAGGTGCCCCAGTAGTGCCTTCTTTGGTTGGGAGGGTTCCCCTACAGAAAAAAGGGATACCCTTATTCTAACCTCTCTACTGGAGGACCTAGATTTTAGTGGTAAATAGCCAAGTTCCTGCACTTTCTGGGCCAACTCAGGAGGTGAGAAGGGGCGTTTCCGCGTATTTCCTGCAGCATTTTGTTTGCCGACTTTGGGGGGACCACACGAATCAGCGATAAAACCTAGGTGTCGGGTCTGTCTTTTTCTGAGTTGGCAACCCACCGACTTCTTTGTTTGGGGGGGAGGGGGGTCGATTTTTTAAAATAAGGACAGATCCATTTGTCAGCGGAAGCCATGGTTTTTCCGCTTCCGGAAGCTCAACTTCACACGGCGTCAATTTGAAGGCCCAAACCCCCTCAGCCAAACAAAATGGCGCCAAACCAGCGCCCCCTGGGCCAAGAATGGGGAACCCCCTCAGGTGTGCCGAAATGGTGTCCAAAAGACAGCCACACTGTTTTTTTTTGGAGCCCCCCCTAATTTACCATGCCTTTAAACTTGGAAATGAGGGAGGGATGTGATCCCTGGAATTCCAAATTATGTCTGCTCATTTTCCCTTTTATGGGGAAGACTAGCTGAATGGAATTGGGTCGTGGAGTCTTCACACGCACAGATCCTTTCAAAGTGTTTTTATAATTGTCCCATAGCAAGAGGGTGGGCAACCTAGACACACTTGCAAAGTCCGTGAGAAATACGGCCAGGTTTACAGGTGCAAAAGGTCAAGATTCTGTTCACTTTAGCAGAGACATGAGACATGAGGCTCGACCCCCCTCCTCTCCAATAATGGTTCTCAGATTCCGAACCCAAGAACCCTAAACCCATTGCCAGACGGATCGCGGACCTTTGTAACTGTTTGCCTTTTGGGTTTCCTTCATTTTCCTTTTTTACCACCAAACATTTTAACTTTGGTGCGGGGGGCCTACACCTTCCCGTCACGGGTTCCTCTATCGCAAGCATGGTAAGGATCAGGGTGAGGCAAGTTTGGCTTCGCAATGAAACCCTGGGCCCTACCCAGAGGAGGTTCTTCACCTCAAATCACCTGTTCAGGTTTCTTTTGCTTGGAAATAGATGGCACTGGTTCAGATAGATGTCATTGACAAGAGCCATTTGTTTTTTCCCAAAGGAGACCTATGTTTAAATGGTGGGCCTCGGTTTCTGTTTCTCTTTTTGTTCCGGGAACTTTGTTCTAGCCATTGCCATCACGGATGCCGGAGGCTTGGAAATCTGCAGCCCTGGCGACCCAACAACCACGTGGACCCTTGGCAGCGAGGGCATGCTTCCCCATCTGGGACTCTGGTTTTTCTCAGTTGTCCAAAGCCAACCTTTTAACCTTTTGGTTCCCCTTTTTGGTCCATTTTTAGTAAAGGTCGCAAGAGGTGATCACCTTTTATTTCCGGTTGCCTTTTGGGCAACTGAGTTTTTGGGTGATCTGAATGAACTCCGGCCGCCCTTTGGTTTGGAGCCCGGCGGCTTGGGGAAGTGAAGCCACCACTCCAAAGCACCCAGTTTCAGGGGAGCTGATGAAACACGGTGTCCTGTTTGCACTGTTTGGTGCCAAGTTAGTCCAACACGTTGACCAAAGGATAAAAATATGTGGGCATTCTTCGAAGCCGGCTGCTCAAGAGTCGCGACTCGTGGCAGCCGCGAGTTGAGGCTAAGTTGGCCCTTTCGGGTCAACTTGAACCTTCTGGAACATTGGCAGTGATTTCTAAGAGCTGGAACCACCCCAAAGCTGGGTGGACATGAATCCCCACCGGATTCTGTCACCAAAGTTCCCCCAACAGTCATGCTAACAAGACCACCGCCTTAACAGCGGCCCGCTGGTGTTGTGGAATTCAAGTACTTCTTGGGCTTGGTTGCCGTTTCAGCGGCAACCAAGACGTTTACTGTTGCTGGCCAGTCCACAAAGGATTGGACGTGAGACAAAGGAGCCTTACCAACAAGTGGCCCTTGCGCCATGTCTCGGTAGCTGCATCCCCTTCTTGACTTGCGCCGGAAAATTGGTGTCAACGATTTCCTTCCATTTGCTGAAAAGCATGTCTTTTGTATTTTTCCTTTTTGGTTCTAAAGGAAAATACTGGAAGTATGTTCCCATGTTTTTCAGGGGGCTTGAGCAAATGGAAGTTTCGAATTCCACAAAGGGGCCGTAGTTGCTACAACCCTACGGTTCTTTGCGCTATTGCTACAAGGGCGCCTAGGAATTTGCTTTCGTTAGAGGAAGGGGGAGGGGGTCGCAAACTTTAGACTTGCTATTCTAGGTCCCCCAGTCCCAGTAGTGCCCCTTTTGCTCTTTTTTTGGGGGAGGGGAACCCCCTACTAAAATAGACTACAGAAAAAGGGTACCCTTATTCCATCCTCTCTACTGGAGGACCAAGTATTTCAGGGATGACTGTCATGGATTTAGTGCTGGCGTTGCTTGAAATCTTAATGGGAGCCGAGGATTGCAAAGTACTGGTTGACCAAAGCCAGGGTGCCCGATGTCACATCGGACTCTTCACAGGTGTAAAGACCTCAAGTTTCATTTAATTTGGGGTTGGCCATATTTGGGATGTTTTGTTTCAGTGTGCCCCATTCTGTGCTAGTTTTACGGGGGAACCAAAAGGAAATCCACATTTTTTGCTCCCTGCCCCCCTCAAATAAATGGCGGGTTCTCCTTTGCTTTCCCTGTAAAACCACAAAAAAAGGGGGGGCGTACCTCAAAACAAAAGACAGAGGCCCAAATGGCCAGCCTCCGGAACCTTAGACCCGGGGTCACTGGGATGGAAACATGAAAAGTTCATGCGGCAGCAGACGTGGCGCTGTGGATTGGATCCTTGCTTCCTGAGCTTCATGAACCTTAGAAGCTTTTTGGGTTTGGAGCGTTTTAGTCTCAGATGTTCAGTGGCTCCAATTCATGTTCCCCCTTTTTTTGGTGGCTGCCCCACTAAAATCCGGTCCAAGCCCAAAAATGGGTCCCCTTTTTTTCCCCACACTGAACAACTGAGTAGCGGAAAAGTTGTGTTTTCCACTGAACCCCCAAAGAGTGAGAAACTCTTTGCAGGGGGGTCAACAGCAACCAAGTAGTGGAAAAGTCTAAAAAAGCTAGTCACTAAAAAGCTAGTGAACAACTGAGTAGTGGAAAAGTCTAAAAAGCCAGTTGTGTTTTCCACTGAACCCCCAAAGAGTGAGAAACTTTTTGCCGGGGGGTCAACAGCAACCAAGTAGTGGAAAGTCTAAAAAGCCAGTTGTTTTTCCCCAGGGTCACTGAACAACTGAGTAGTGGAAAAGTCTAAAAAGCCAGTTGTGTTTTCCACTGAACCCCCAAAGAGTGAGAAACTTTTTGCCGGGGGGTCAACAGCAACCAAGTAGTGGAAAATCTAAAAAGCTAGTCACTAAAAAGCTAGTGAACAACTGAGTAGTGAGAAAGTCTAAAACGCCATGGACCCAGCTACTTCTTGGGGGGGTCTAGGCTCCGCGATCCGATCGCCAGTTGTTCGCTTCGAGGACATCTTGCTGGCCTACGGCAGTCACACGCCGCCTTTGGCCGTGCAGGAGTCCACCTACAACCTCCAGGACCCGAGTTGCTTCCATTTGGTGAGGAATATATATATATATGTATATAATATATATATATATATATATATGTATAATATATATATATATATACATATATATATATATATGTATATATGTGTTATTCTCCCCTTTTGGATTTTTAATGGGAATCCATCACTACTGAGTTAGCTTTACTTTTTCCAGACTTGAGCAAATGGAGGTTTTCGGTGAGAAAATAGCGCCTTCCGCCGTGGAAGTCGCCGGCCGAATTCGGGTTCTTTCTCTGTTGTTTCTTTTCCCAGCTCCCCCAGCAGTGCCCTTTTACCCTTTTTCGGGGGAGAGTTCCCCTACTAAAATAGACTACACAAAAAAGGGGTACCCTTATTCTGGCCTCTTTTACTGGAGGACCCAGTTTCAAAGCAACATTTCAAAATAGACATGTGGTTTTCCTGTGGGTTTTCCGGTGAGTTTCCCTTTGAAACCAACGCACATGTGGTTTTCCTGTGGGCTTGCCCTTGGCAGTGCTGGTTTTGACATATGTTTCTATAGGCAGCCTTATCCTTTCGGGAAACATCGACCTTGGGTGGGTGGGTGGGTGGGTATCACTGCTAAGCCCTCCCTGAGTTCCTGGACTTTCGTTTCGGCGGTAAATGAGACGTTTGCTAATACTTTGTACGGCCCATCCACTCGATCGGAAGTGAGGCCCTTAAAACACACCAACCAAACAAGCGTGTTGTCTTCCATTTGCTTTAGAATATGGTTTATTGCTTGATGTTAAAGGGAAACGATTTCAGTACTGGCTAGGTCCCCCAGTAGTGCCCTTGTACCTTTTGTTGGAAAAGGATTCCCCTACTAAAATAGACTACAGAAAAAGTTGGTACCCTTATTGTCACCTCTCTACTGGAGGACCTAGCTGGACAAATCTCTCCTCTCTTTCTCCAGAGGACTTCAGAAAGCTTCAATGGAAGTTCTGTGGGGCCCTAGGAGCTTCTGCCGGGCTCGCTGACCACCTTCATCGGCCTCAGCTCCTGGCTTTGGCACATCGAAGGCCGGGCTGCCGGGGGGGGGGGTGTGGCGGCCAAAGCGGGCGGAATACGTGAATCATTGTTTGCTGTTTCCATAGGCAGGGAATGAGAAATAGAATGAACCGCATACTCGTATACTCACTCTCTGTGTTCATGTTGACGTCAGTCACTGTTTGGATTTTGGACCATTTGCGGGAAATAAAACAGTTCCAGGAATTTCTTTGACCAATGCACTCAGGAAGTGAGCATAAACCAGCCATCCTATGGGAGTCCCTGGGATTTCCGAGCACCAGTATTTTTTCTCACCTGAGCTGCAGAAGGGTACTGTGGACCCTGGCTCTTGGTAGAACACGTCCGACTAGGCAGGGTGTCGCAAACAAAAAGTGACGGATACCCACAAAGAGAGCTATGAATCCGCCAGAAGTTTGTTAATCCAGGGTCAACATTAGAAACCAATGACGTTCGTTGGCGTTTGCCGGGATTCATCGATTCTGAACGGATTTCGTCGAATGGGAATCACGATTTCTAAAGCCAAAAGGAGAATGGTTTACCGTCTAGTGGCTTGCCTGGGATCCACTGGGCGCCGCGTTTGTCCCTCGTTGGTTCGTTTGATTGTGCATGCGGCTTTGCTTTGTTTTCCAGAAGGTGCATGAGGCTACCTTCTTCTCCTCGGCTACAACCGAGATTCAGGCACCAGAAGGAAGCCACCTTTTTTTTTGCGGGTTCCAACTCCTTTGACAGGGCAGTAGAAGCCAAGGCCTCCAGAGGTGCCCTCCAAGATCTGTTTTGGGAAGGGTCCCTTTATCTTCCAACTGAGCACAATTGTGAGTTGGGGGAGAGGGAGAGAACGACCCCTAAAGATCGCCAATGCTGGCAACCCATTTTCTGGAGGTCTCCATTTCTGGCAACCCATTCTTTGGGGAGGACTAGGGAACCCTGGACCTCCCGGGCCCCTCCCCCAGAAGGCAGGGGGAATGTTTTTTTGAAATATCAAGTATACAAGTTCAATATTCCGAGGCCTGGGTGATTTTTACGGGTTCTGGACTCTAAATCCCTTCTCGCCTCTTCATAATTTATCCCAATTGGCCAAAGCAAGTCGACCAGATCTGACCTTTTAGTTTCACATTTTTTGGGTTCCCATTTTTCTCGGCCTGGCCCCAAACTGTCTTCCCTTTTGTCTTGCAGGTCCCCTAAAACGGGGCGGCCGAGTCTTAGCTTCTACTTTCCGCCCCCAAAAAGGAGAGGCCCAGTTGTTCAGCGGCTCCAATTCTGTTTCCCCTTTTTTTTTGGTGGCTGCCCCACTAAAATGGTCCAAGCCCAAAAAAGGGTCCCCTTTTTCTCCAGGGTCACTGAACAACTGAGGAGGATTCTTTGCACCTGGGGAACCGGGATGGCGAACGAAAATTTCCGCACTCGAAGTTGCGATTTTTTGCGGGTACCCGGTACCCCGAGACATCGGGGAGGGAGGGATCGTTGTTGTCAACCCGATTTTTTCGGGGGAATGTTAGACATGTGTAAATGGTTCCATTCCTGGAGGAGTTTTGGCCCTGGCACTTTTTGGGGTTTTAGACAGGTGTAAAGGGTTTTCCATTCCTGGAGGAGTGTTGGCACCATGGCACCTCTTTGTCCATTTGGTTGGCATAAGGGGCTCCTTTTCCAGAAAGGGCTCGGTTGAATAAACTTGGGGGTCCCTGCATAAGAACATTGACCTAAAACCATTTCAGGTCAATTTGGGGCGTAATTGCACTCAGTGTCCAGTGACCCGTTTCGCAAACGCGAACTGCACCCCCGTTCAGCGGCCGCTTCCCTCTAATTGGTGGTTTGGATTGTGGTTTAGTGGTTGGGGCTGCTTTCCCATTTACCCCCAACAAACACCCAGGGATACCAAGGGTTCAAATCCCCACACCGCCAATCTATAGCTTATCACCGCATGGGTGTTTATAAATGGGAAAGCACCCCCCAACCACCAAAAATACAACATCTAAACCACAAACTAATTGCTTACACGATGAGAAAGAAGCTGGCCTTCCCCAAACAACGGAAGGAATGGGAACCTCGGCTTCCCAAGATGATCACTTGCCGGAGTGAACCGGCAACTCCCCTTGCAGTTTCTTTGGCCCTTCCCAACTCAAGCCGGTAAAACAGAGCTTCACCTCTAACCGGCAAAAAAACCCATCTAAAGCACCAACCAAGGGCTACCTGATGAGAAAGCCTTCCCAAGTCGGAAGCTGATACCTGCGGGAGTGAACCAGCAAAATATCATAGTAGCGTTATCCTTTTCCAGTTTGTGCAACAACCATTGGTATAAAAGACATATGTGCCAATTATTTACTTAATTAAATTAAATGCGAAGACAAAACTTGTTCTAATTGACCGTAGCTTCATTGTGAAACCCCTTGCGGGCTGGTCTCTCGCAGTTTCTCTTGCAGCGAGCCCAAGGTGTGCCGGCAGTTCAGGAGGTTGCGCGCTTGGCAGAGCTGATGTGCACCCTGGCGCAGCCTGGGCGGGTGGGCTGTGATGTTTGGTTTGTGTCTTTCTTTGTTGGCTTGTTTGTTTGTTTGCTTCTTTGTGTGTTTGTCTGGCTGTTCGATTTGTTTGTTTGTTTGTTTGTTTGCCTGCCTGTTTGCCTGTCGGCCTGGCTGCCTGCCTCCCTGTCTCTGTCTCTGTCTCTGTCTCTGTCTCTGTCTCTGTCTCTGTCTCTGTCTCTGTCTCTGTCTCTGTCTCTGTCTCTGTCTCTGTCTCTGTCTCTGTCTCTGTCTCTGTCTCTGTCTCTGTCTCTGTCTCTGTCTCTGTCTGTGTCTGTGTCTGTGTCTGTCTGTCTGTCTGTCTGTCTGTCTGTCTGTCTGTTTGTGTTTTGTGCTTTGTGCTTTGTGCTTTGTGCTTTGTGCTTTGTGCTTTGTGCTTTGTGCTTTGTGTTTGTGTTTGTTTGGTTGGTTTCATTGTCATTACGTCTTTCCTTCGTTCTGCCTGTCTTGGCAGAAGGAAGTCACGTGAGACAATCAAAAACAGAGCTCACATACAGCGTTCAAGGGGTCCATGTTAAAAGAACATGGTCTTCGTTCCATGTTTGGGAGGGTAACTTGGGGACCCCCCCCTCCCGTCGAGTTGGTGGTTTCCTTTTGGTTTCCCTTTAAACCCTCACTGTTGCCGACAACTTTCTTGGCAAATCGAACACCCAAGCACGCTGTGTTTGCTCTGTGTTTGGAGGGAAACCAGGAAGACAGGAAGCAACCGGGTCTGGGAAAGACTCCCCTTCACACAAAAGTACCCTCAGAAATGTTCCCTTCAAACAACCCCGCTCTTCAAGGTTGCTTGTTCTCCTTCGGGGTTTCCCTTTGACACCCTGCCAACAAGGAGTACGATAAGTGGTTACCCATTTGCAACCCGCTGTTAGCAAGTTTATGTTCACTGAACGGGCGACTCATAAGTGGATCATCACAAAGGTTGCCAACAATTAGTAAGTTGGCGAATCGAATACCCAAGCAATAAACCTCCCGAATCAAGCGAAGACCACCAGGTTATTAGCGTTATTAGTCCCAGTTGTCCAAAGCCAACCCTTTAACCTTTTCGTATCCCCGTTTTGGGGTTCCCATTTTCAGAAAAAGGTCTCAAAAGGTGATCACCTTTTATTTGGCCTTTTGGGCAACTGGTGGGTTGAACCCAGGTGGCTGTTATCCATGGGGTAGCCTCAAAGAGCCAAAGGCTCAGGATAAAACCAACGAGCAATGCTGTGCCGTGCCTTGTGGCAAGCGGCGGGGGGAGGCTTGCTTGAACTTCAGAATGTAGGAAGCCGTGGAAAACTGGATCCCTAACGTCACTTTTCCTTTTTGGTGACGTTTTGCAAATAAGAAATCGAAGGCGATTCCTGGTTTTCCTGGTGGCTCAATCATCTACCAAGGAAACTCATCTATTTTCCAAAAAGGACACCTATGCCCAGGTGGCCCTCAAAAAACGAGGTCGCCAATAAACAAAAAGACAAACAAATCACCAACTCATCCCCCTCGGTTTTTTCTCGAGGCAAGTCCTCTTCCGCGGGCACGGAGTCTCTGAACGCGCTGCTGGTGCAGCAGAGCCCAGTGGCCAAGGTGACGCCCTCCAAATCCCCGGCGCCTCGTTGCGACGAAAAGCCTTCGCTGGTCGAGCCGGATCCAGTTGGTGGTGTTTTTGGCTGGTGTTCATGGATCGAGTTGTTTGTAGTGCCGGGCTGGTGTACTCATGGATCGAGTTGTTTTTGATTGTTATTTGTTTGTTTTGATTTTTCTTCGTTTTTGTTTTGTGCTGTTTTTCCGTCCTCGTTTTTTTTCGGTTCTGTTCTCGTTTTAGGCTTGTTTGTTGCTACCATGACAAGGGTTGTGAAGACGAATGGAGTTTCCGGGGTTAAGTTACGACTGTTTTCCATTTTTCCGACTTGGCTAATATTCTCGCGGATTTGAGGAATCTGTATTTGACGACTTCCCGAACGGTCCAAAACCCAACTTCACAAATATGGAGTGCTTGGACCCGCTGGGTACCATTTGTGCCTTTACAACCCTTATTAATTATGTTAAGTTTCCGGAAAGAAAAAGTAAAGCAAGCCAAGAAGAAGTGCTATAGTGCAGAAAGCAAGAAGTAGACCAGGAATGGAGCGAGGATGGGACGAAGAGCAGAACGAGCAAGAGGAGGGAGAAGGACAAGCAAACGTAGGAAGCGGAGCAGCAGAACACCGGAGAAAGAAAAGGAGGAAAGCGCGCAATTGGAAGGACTTCCTCCATATCCCCGTGGAACCTCCAAACGTGGCGATCGTTTCCATGAAACACCACCAGTCATTTGCGATCCTTGAAGGGGAAATCCAGTGACCCAAGCGCAGTTGTCCACGCCTAATTTGGTCTTTTGAGGGGGGAGACGTGTTCTATAGTTTTTGCTTTTTGGACAGGGAAACTCCTGGCACAAAAGGCTGCCTTCTCTTGTTTGTGTTTGGAAGGCGGCCCCTGTCAACAAAAAGGATGCCTTTTTCGTCGACGCGTATTTTTGGGAGATGGGGAGGCCCCTTTCAACCACTTATTTGTTTATTTGTTGACTTGTTTTTTGTTTATGGGGGAGAGACGGCTGTGAAAAGCAGTGCCCAGTTGCTTGCCCTTCTTGTTCAAAGAAAGTTGCCATTCTTTGTCGACGGGCGGGAGTTGGAGGGGTTAACAGCAACAGAGGCCAGGGGATCTGCGGCAGGCACGCTTCAACTTATTTTCTTTGCGGGCTTTCCCAAACCACAATGACATGATCAACCCCAAAAAGGGTTCACCACTACTTAACCACCAAACTACCAATCAGGGAAGCTGATTCCTTGTTCTCCAGACTCAGGCAACAGTTACCATGTCTCACAAAGAGGGATGCCCGAACATTCGGTGGTTTTCCTTTTGGTTTCCCTCCCAGCCTCAAACAATGGTCCCCTCTCGTCCACCAACATGGGAGTCTGAGCTTTGCGGGGTCCTGGAAGACAAGTGTCCTTTAAAATGGAGCCTCTGGAGGATTCCATGTTTGTTGATGGACACCCCCCGCTGGCAACAAACTGCCACTCTCCAAATATAAGCTCAAGTGCTATCCCCAACCGCCCCGAACCGCCCGGAACCCTTGCGGAACCCTCCCTGCAATCTGCTCCGAACCGCCACCCCCCCCCCCGTGGTGAACCTCCTTCTTTTAAGACTCTAGGCTAGGAGTCCACGGCACCCACCCACCCTTCGACGTGGGGAAAAACCCGACCACGGCGCTCGCTCTCTCAGCACCTGGGAACGGTGCTCGGGGCGAAGTCCAAGTCGCGCCCGCCCTTGCTGCGGCACATGTCGTCGCTCAAGTCCGCGGATATCGCGAACGCCTTAAAGGCGGGGATCTTTCTTTTTGTGTTTTTCCGCGGAGATCGGGGGATTTGTTTTTTGTTTGTTTGTTTTTTTGTTTTCCGCGGAGATCTGGGGAAAACATGATGGGGGGTGTCCATGGCGACGGATGGACGAATCCGTTCGCACCAGGCAAGAAGCCCTGGATGGATTCCTTTGTATAGATACCAACCAACGTTGCAGGATTTCGTCCACTCACAGTAGAAAAGGTTATGGACCTTTTGCTCAGGGTCGCCGCAACTTAGTGGCGTGAGGATGTCACGGCATCTGCTTTTCGAGGACCTTTTGGTTTTCGGTGAATCTGTGTGAGCCACCACACCCATCAGTTTTTTTGTTTCAACCACCAGACCTGGTTTTTGTTTGCGCCCTGAAAGGGCTAGAGTGGTGGTCTTGTGGGTATTTGGCAAAACGCTTCGGCCATCGTGTGTGTCCATGTGTTTTGTTTCGATTGTTGTTTACTCAGCCAACTCCTCTTTGAGGACACACACACACACACCACACAACCCGCCCAACCCCTCCAAGCCCTCCAAAACCCACCCAACTCCAAAACCCCCCCAAATACCCCCAACACCTCTAAAACCACCCCCCAAAACACCTCTAAAACCACCCCCCCCCCCCCAAAACCAGCCCAACCCCCCCCCCTTCCCCGACCCCCCTCCCAACCGCCCCCCCCAAAACCGCCAGCGAGGTGCAGCTCCCGAAGACGGAGGCGTGAAAACTTCTTCCCTTCGGCCCGGCCGGCGGCATGGCCCCGTGGATCGATGGAGGGCGTTCTCTAGAGGAAAAGGGCGGCGGCCCATCATGGGCTTGTTTTCTTCTTCTTATTGTTTTTTTCTTCCGTTTCTCCGGATGTTTTCCCCCCTCCCCCCCCCCGAAGATTTGTTTTGGCGATTCTTTCCCCTTGTTGTTTTCAGGGACTTTGAGATTTCGATGGAAATACTTTTAATTTCCGGCCTGTCCAAGGAGACAGAAAGGCAAAAATGGAAGTAGGTAACCCTGCGCGATGTTCTCCTCTTTGATTCGAATCGGCTGGTTTTCTTTCTGACCTGCGAGGCAAATGGATCGATCCACTGGGCATTCCCCGGGTTCCTGAACCGCCTCCAACTTGGAGGCTTTTTTTAAGGGCTGGCTTGCGCATGGCTCCAGTTTTTGGGGGCTGTCCCAAAACCGGGTCGCCCTCTTTGAATTCTTTGCACCCGGTTGTCCAGGGCCCCGTTGCGTTGCCTGGTGAAACCCTTGCGTTGGAACCAACAGAGCCCGCTTTGAAGTCATCGACGGGTTCTTTGCTTACCGCGGAAGAGAACGGAGGGATGGACAATGCTGGCGCAAGCCTTGCAGACTGGAGGCATTGGCCCCAGAGTCGAGGACACTGGGTCGCGTCAATTCCCCTGACCTTTCGCCCAGAGGCCTGTTCTCCACTTCTTTGAGCGGGGAAACCTTGAAAACTTTCAACTTGTTATGTTTTGGGGGATGCTCATTGCTCACCCCTTTGGCTCACTTCTTTGCTCACCATTGCTCACCCCTTGTTTTGTTTTGGGAAAATTGTGTTTGGCTCACCCTTTGCTCAACTTCTTTGGCCCCGGGAGGCAGCCGCCGTGCCCTGTTTGTGCAAAAGAATGAGGCAAGCAAGCCATCACGCGACGTTGACTTGTGGAAGCCCCAAGGTTGGACCAAAAGCAGCTCAAGTTTCTACGTGTTGATTTCAAGCCATTTTTTTTTTAAGAACCAACCTTTTGATTAGCAATTTTGTGTCAGCTCTTTTTTTTTCAAGAACCAACCTGAAAGCTCCCCTCGATTGCTTGACGAAAAGCCGCCGAATTTGGGCCTTCGGGTCAGCCACAGTCAAACCATGTCAAACCTTCAGCAAAGATTCGTCGGGGACGACGGTGCGGATGCCCCTTCGATCCTTGACATGGCTTTGGACCACCTAAATTCCTGGCTTGATTTGATCACTCAGGTGCGTTTGTATGGCAGTTTCTAGGTCCCCCAGCAGTGCCCTTTTACCTTTTCTTGGGGGGTTCCCCGACTAGAATTGACAGAAACAAGCTGGTACCAACTTATTCTAGCCTCTCAAATCTGGAGGTAGGAAGGGTCTTCCCCATTCTGACCGCCATTTGGGTTCCATACCCTGGAACGGAGGACACACGGGGCAATTCAGGTACCCGTTTCACGGAGCTACACGACCTCAGTTTTCTCAGTTTCACCACGCCTCGAATTGGCGGTTCAGGGGTGAGGCTCCGAACCAAGGATCCGCCCAGATCCCGGCCGTTTTCCTTTTGGGAAGGGCCAACAGATTCCTTCAAACTCAACCAAAAAATAGATGCCGATTCGGTTTTTTCCCCATGGAAGCACTGAGCAGAGAGAATCTAGAATCTACCTCCATGTGGTTAAGAATATATATTTTGTGTTTTCCCTGTTGGTTTTAAAGGGAATCTATCACTAGTGGACATATTTTGTCATTCTCCAGGGGACGAAAAAGCAAATGGAGGTCTAGAGCCTTTAATAACTTGGCACAAGTTGGTTTCCCCTTCTACCTTGCAACCGTTTGCTTTGCCCTCAGGCGGGTAGCCAGATCTAAAACCTTGAGCCGTTTGGATTTTCACGCGTGATTCACTTACGAATACTTTCTGCTCTGGGGGGTTATAGCCATATATAGATGTATATATATATATGTATTTATTACGATGGCTCATGAATCACGATCATGTTCAGTATAATGTTCAGCTTGGTGGCATGTTCCTGTTGAACTTATGTTCCCTTTCTGGTCACACCGTTTCATTCGCAAATCATCAAGCTTTGGTTGGCCGGTGCTGGTGCTTGCATTTGGTAAATGGCCCTTGGCCAAACACATCTACATGCCATGATTCACAGTGGGATATGGTCATGGCCTCAATCAGAACCGTAGGGTCCCTTTGATCGGTTAGTTTGGTTGGAAATCGACGGGCTGCCGCGGGGATCGATTGGTTGCATTCCAACCAGGGAACCCTATCTCAGATGCCAAAAGGACACCTATGGGATGAGTGTTTTCCCAAAAACCTCCGGAAAACTTCGGAGCAGCCTCCCCAAGTTTCGGCTTCTCCGAGTGCGCTATGATCAGAACTGTCACGATGGCCTAGTCGATGTGCTGCACCTATCGTCCCGATGACGTCCGACGGTGGGGCCATGCTCTTACCCCTAAGACGAAGACCCAAAGCATGGCGGGTCCCTAGCATGACCCCAAAGGCCCTAGACCATCTGGAAACACATGTTTGTTCATTGAACCCAGAACCGATTTGTTACCCTCCCACCAACTGACATGGAATTGCACAAAGCCTCTTTCCATGAGGAAGAAGTCTTTCCACATTACATTTGTGCACTTCCACGCCAGTCGGTGTGAGGGTAGACCTTTTGCTCATTCAGAGCAACCCAAAACCAGTCTCACGAGCCTCCAACCCCTTGACCCATTTGGCGATGCACACGATCAAGATATCAGGGCTGTCCTTTCAGCTTTGAACACTTGCAACTGCAAGCGGGCATCGGTTGGCACCATTTGGGACAGCGCCGAAAGTGCACATACTTGACCAGGTCAGTGGCCAACAACAAGCTTGGTTACTTTTTTGGGCCAATATACTTGAGTCTTGAGGTGGCTCTACCCATTTGCTGCTTCAAAAGTAACCAACAAGGACAGCCCTGGGAGTGTCCGGCCGGGACACGCGCGAATCCGACCAAAAAGACGGGAGCTCGCTCGCGGCGCAACTTCCCTTGACGTACGGGCCCCCCAACTGGCCCCGACTGTCAAAGTCACCCGCAAAGTGGTAGGTTGAAGGAAAACAACCCCAGTTCCTATCTTTCATCATCGCCAAACACACACCCGCACGGAGCGGAAGCAACTAAGCCCTGGTTGCAACCCTCGGGAAAGAGACACTGAGGAATAACTTGGCCAATGCCTTCAAGCATTTTCCTGGCAAACCGTGGATGCAGCAAGGACTTGTGTTTTGATGCGTCTGGGAGCTCATGCGCTTTGGGTAGCGGTTGGAAAACGGTGTGCGCCAAGCCTACGCATTCATGCGATATAGAGCACAGTACCAAACCTACCCAAGTATTCAATTTGTTTCTTGCTGCAAATTGGCGACTGCGACCAAACAATGACCCAGGCCGGCCAACTAGCTGGAAGCAACGACGAAACAACCAACCGACCGAGAGTTCAAGACAGCTTGAAACAACCGGCCGCCTGGCTTCTGCCCAGGCTCTAACAAACAAGCGAGGCAGCAAACAAACAAAGAAGCAAGCAAGACAGCAAACAAAGAAGCAAGCAAACAAACAAGCAACAACCACAGTTGCGAGCTCAAGCACAGCGCAAACACCTCTGCCGAAAGACCTTTTGACCTTTTGGTTTTCGCTCGTGGGCTCAACCAAATCATGCTCCTGTGATAGCTGTACTACAACGACTGAACCTTCACGGTCATGCGGACAAAAAAAAAAGAAGTATTTTTCAGTGCCGCCTTTCGTTTCTATAAACCATCCCTTGTGGCTTCAACTTGAAGGGGAATTCCCAAACGGTTCATTCTCAACTTCCGGAAGGACATTCCCTAATGTTAACCCCGGATTAATAAACCCCTGGTTGATTAATAGGGGGGTGTCTCCTCTTAGTGGGGATTAATATCATTTTTGGAGGGAACGCCCCCCTAGTGGGACGGGTTTATTCATCCTGGGTCAACATTACTGACCAGCAAGTTACTCTATGTCACTCCCAACGCCCGGAGGAAAGTGGTCATTCCCTACTGGCACCACTGGCAGCAGGTTTCTGGGTCACATCGGCACTCGTCTCAGGCTTCGGCGGCTTTGAGAGCGGAGAGCGGATGCGGGACCCGAGTAGACGCAAGCAAACCGGCCACATGCAAGAAACACAACGGCACAAACCATGGGAATCTAGGTCCCCCAGTAGTGCTCTTTTACCGTTTCTTTTCGGGGGAGGGTCCCCCTACTAAAACAGACTACAGAAGAAAAGGGGAATTGCCCTTCTACTGGATGGCCTAGGAACGAAGATTAAACCGGGGTAAATGTGTGGTATCGAACCATACACCAGCCAATATCCTTTTACAATGTTGTTGGAGCAGGAGGGCCCCAAGCAAAACAAAGTACACGCAAGAAACACAACACACCACAATTAGAAACACGGCAAATAAACCATATCACAAAAACACGGCAAATGCCGGGGGTGCCGTGTTTTGCTTTGTGCCCTCTTTTGCAAGATGCTCACGGCATCCACCGTGTGACCGCACTTTTTACACCCCTGTGCATTGATATGACCCTTCCTCCACATGTGCAAGTTGAGTTGAAGCAGATCGATCCGAATCGGCGAGAGAGACATTAGCCAACTATCACTTTGTTATTGGATCAAGTGTTTTTGCGTTTTGGTTCTTTTTATTTGCTGGTTTTGGGCTGCAAAAGACAGTCATTTGTTTGCTACCATACCAAGGGTTGTGCAGATCATGGACGTGGCTAGCTGGTGGAACGTAGCCGGACAAAGGAAGCTGGGGGTATCCAAAAGTTGCTTTTACGAGGCAGCCTTTTCGGAGCTATCGATCGGAGTTCTTCTTTTTGGGACATAGCTGGACAGGGCGCTTCCCCAACAGGAAAGTATAGTCTTCCCAGAGCCTTTCCATTATTATTGAAGGAAGGGTATACCTTGTATACTGGGAAGGTTCTTTGTGGCGACTCGCCGCCAAATTCCATTTCCAGCACATTTGCTAGATTAGCACCGTACTCACTTTCAGCGTTCACTCGCTTTTGCG